GACCTGCAAAACGTCCACGAGGGAACTGATGTTCCCCAGTCGGAATCTGCCCCTCCCCGTGCTCCTCACTCAGTGACCACTCCACCGCTCACCCAGGTGCCTGTCCCAGATGAATGCAGTCATTTTTGACTTCTCTAATTTTAACAACCTTTCATCAAATTAATCTGCAAGTCCCATGGATTCTACCTCCTAAATATCTGTTAACGCAGCCCACTGCCCATCACCGCTACCACCACTGACGGTCATCCCAGGCCTGAGATGGTTTACCTCTCACCCGGATCTCTTGTCTCCAGTCCATTCTTTACATGTAAGCCAGAGTGGTTTTTCTAAAATGATGAGTCAGCCGTGTTACTCCCACCCACCTTCTTAAAACCCTCTAGTGATCTGCTCCCTCTATGATAAATTTATCATTCTAACCCTGGTCACAGGCACCCCTTCACCAGCCTTCAGCTGGTCTTTCCTGTCAGGTCCCTGACTTCCCTTGAGAGCCATTTTCATCTTCTTTTAATTCCTCAAATTTACCAGCTTTCTATGGCCAGTTTTGAATACCATTTCCCCTTCCTGGGACACTGCCCTTTGGGTGTCAGCTTAAACATTTCACGTTCTTCAGGAGACTTTTTTCTGACCTTAAACTAGTTGTGGTCCCGGCTGTATGTTCTACAACGCTTTGTTTTCTCCGCTATTATCATCATGTGTGGTCGTTGGTTGGCTTGCCAAACCTATTTTTTTGCTACCTTTTTGAACTTTTATGTCCTTTTTAACAACAGACTTATGTGTCTCTTCATCTAATTATTTTCCTAGTTTTCTTCATCTTCTACAATTAATTTATACCTCAATTTTGGGCTCAAGTTTCCTTATTTTTTTAAAACATTTTATTTATTTATTTTTAGAGAGGGAAGGGAGGGAGATAGAGAGAGAGAGAAACATCAATGTGCGGTTGCTGGGGGTTATGGCCTGCAACCCAGGCATGTACTCTGGCTGGGAATTGAACCTGCAACACTTTGGTTTGCAGCCCATGCTCAATCCACTGAGCTATGCCAGCCAGGACCTTATTTTTTTTTTAAAATTGGAAAACTAATCTACGGATTAATACACATCAGAAAAGTATGCTATTGTATCAGCTTTCCTGACCTCTCCTTAGGTGGATTATATTAAGTTTTGAGTTAATTTGTGAGAATTAACCCATAAGTAGAATAATGGAGACATGGGCAAACCATGTTTTAAGGTGCATTATTTTTAAGACTTCATGCAATAAATCTTCTCAGTTTCTAAATAGGAAGATTAACACTTACCACATACATCAACATAATTGTATTTTTTCCTCAAGTTACAGGTGTATCAGGTGAGTGTAAAGAGTTAGAGAGCTGGTGGGAAGGGTTTATAGCATGCCCCTGCGGGCAGGCTGAATTGTTCTGTTGTTCTTGTGTGGCTTTCAATAGCTTGGCAAAGAATACTCCACAGTCCTGGTGGTTGGTGCACTGAGTTGGACTTTGGTGGATTGGGCTCTTCTCCAGGGATGCAGGTTATCACAAAGGTCAGAGCAGACAGGCCATGCCTACTCCAGAGTGGATTTTCAAGTCCAGTCTAACATGGTCCACACCACTTATATGCAACCATCAGAATTCACACCACTCTTCTTGTTTCTTCTCTTTTTAAGGCTTTCTATCAGTGAATTTTCTTGATCTCACTCGTGGCTAAGCTTTTTATCATGTAGGAAAATTATTCTAATATGAAAATCACTTATGAGCATTTAAAAAAGAATAATGCCCAGTGTTGATTGATTCAATTTGGGCGTGGTGGAGCCCAGGCACTGGTTTTTGGAAACCCTCTCAGATAACTCTCAAGTGCAGCCAGGGTGGAGGACCATGGATTTAGGCCACAGGATGTATCTTACCTTGCTTAATAAACTGGTTTGTCAACATTCTTGACTTTATCTGTAGACTTTCACCTTCATCCCAATTTCCCTATTACAGTAAAGAGCACCTCCATCTATATGGTTTCTCATATTAAAACCTGAGATTCATTCTTCTTTCTCTAATCCCCCCCTCCAACCAATCACCCATCAGGAAACAATGTAGACTCAACTTCCAATATATCCAGTTGATGCTGCTTACCTCTACTGCCCTTCTCTTAGCCCAGACCATCCTCTCACCTTGCCTGGACCACTGAAATGTCCTAATTGGATTCCCCTGTTCCAATCCTGTGTCATCTTCCACAAAGTTCTTAATTTTAAAAAATGGTCCTCAAATTTTTATTAAAATATATTTCAAAGATTTTGATAGGAATAAGCCATTGAACTTTATAAAATCCTAACATGGTAATGTACTTGCTTCCCAGTTTTTTTTTTATAGAAGGAAACTTTGTTGTTAAAGTTCAAGCCTCCTCCCCACCTCTCCCTGATGACATTTCCTCTCTTCATGGAGCACCTACAGATCTGCCTGTGTGAAGCAGTATACAAGACAGACCAAATCTCTGCTGTCTTACACCTCGTATACTAGTTGGGAGAGAACAAGTAAACTAATAAGATGATTCTAGATAATGCTAAGTGCTGGAATCATGCAATCCTTCTGCTTTTAGATCTTTACTGATTTTTAAATTGCATTTAGGATTAATATAACTCCTTTCCAGGCCTATAAGGCTTGGCACCTGTCCCCTTCTCCCTTTGACTCTTTATGCCCTCACCACATTGACCTTAGAGTTTTTGGAACTTGCTTTTTTCTGCTTCAGGACCTTCACATGCATTGTTTCAGCTTCTTGGAAAGTTCTTTCCACCACTCTTTGGCCAATTCTTACTCATGATTCAAGTCACAGGTTACTTGTCCTGTTTTCTGAGAGACTTTCCTTGATCCTCATAAAAATAGGCCCCTCAGATGAAGTCTCTCTCACAGCACCTTGACCTTTCCCCAGGATCACCACAGCATATGATTATACACATAGATGTCATCTGCCTCACCTACTAGACTGTAAGTTCCAGGAAGACAGGAATGATTTCTCTTTTGCTTTCTGCTGTATCTCCTAGCCCACAGCCTGACACATAATGGTTCCTCAGTGAATTAAAAAAAATTAAATGTACTAATTGGTGTTTTTATGAAAGTTTGTTTGCAGGCTCATTTTGAGCAGGAAATTTGGTTTTGTTTGGGTTTATGATTTCCCTCTTTCCTTCAGGGCTCTCCCCTCTCTGGTTAAGAGTGTAGGGTGGCCTCCACAGATCCTCAGATAAGAACCAGGCCTTATGTGGAGTTTAAGGGCTCCTGACCTTGTGATATTTGGGATACCACAGACCTTGTCAGAAGGCCAGCAGTGTTTGGTCTTGGGGCTTGTCCGCAGCCAGCCTCCCTAGGCCCTTAGTCTGATAAGATTCATAGCTGTAGATGGTGGTGGACAGCTGTGCTTCACTTCTGTTTTCTAAACTTTTTTTAATAAGAGAGTATCCAGGCATTAGGAGAAGCCTCACTTCAGCCCATGGCTTGAAGCAGTGAGCCTGGATGCAGTTTATCACCTTCGTTGGAGCGTTTTTGGGAGCTCTTACTCTTTCGGGAGCCAGTCTTTCCTCAGTCTTTCAGTCTCACTCTCCCCTCTTCCCATCCTTCCCTCCCTTCCATCCTTCCCTCCCTTTGTCTCTCTTACCATTTAAAAGTAAGTTGAAGTTATAACATTTCATTTCAAAATACTCCAGCAGGTATGTCTTAAAAATAAGAACATTTTCTTACATAATTGCAATACTGCTACCACAGTCAAGAAAGTTTATGTTGATACATTAATGTTACCTAACATAAATTTCATGTTCAACTTTTTCTAATTGTCCCCTCCACAACTTGCATAACAATTTCCAGTGAAGGACCACATATTTTATTTAGATTCTAAGTCTTGTAAGTCATCTTTAAATGAGCACAGCTCCAATGGCTTTATTTTATTTTATTTTAATTTTTTCATATCTCATAATATTGACATTTTTTAAGAATCCAGGCCAGGCTTCTGACTTACCGATCACCTGCATTTTCCTTCATTTTTTTTTTCAGTGATGTGTGTCCTTCTTATTTCATCTCGTCAGGAGTTATGTGGTCTCGTTTTGTCTCATCAATGATGATGTTGCTTGGTAAGGTGGTATCTACCGGATCTCTTCATGATGAAGACATATTTTCTCTATGAATTTAATAAGGAATCTCTGGGGTGTCACTTTGAGATCATGTGAAGATCCTGATTAACAACAACTTTTCATCCAATGGTGTTAGCCTGTGTGGATGGTCCTTGTTTGTATTCATTATTATATTGGTAGTTCCAAATATTTTGTATATTTGTATGCAAAAAAATATTGTATATTTTACCATTCCTTCTACATCTTTAAGCTGACATTCTGTATAAAGAAGTTTTTGTCTCCTCCCTCACAACCACACTTTTTAAAAATTATTATTTTAATAGTATTACTATGAGCTCATAGGTTGTTTTTTCCCCCTCCAGGATCACTTGGCCAAAAAACTACTGCTTTTCTCAATATCTTTTTTCAGGGCTAAATATATACTGATGACATATTTTCACATGATACTTCATAGCCAGTTGTCTCTATGAAATAATATATTTTAAGTAATAGCATAGCGTGCAATTCCTTTTAAAAACGTTTGCCCCTTCCCTAATTTTGATATATTGTTGTAGTCAGGGTTGTTTCTCTCTTGCCTAAATATTATGGTGGTGATTTATTTTCATTTATATTTCTTTGATGAATTCAACATGAAATCAAACCTGTTACTGTTAAAAACTTGTGGGAGGAAGTTATTCTTAATCAGGCACCACATACAGAGATTCAGGGCTTAGCAAAGTAAGATTACAGTTGTTTGTGTAGAGAAAGACGGGCAGGTTATCTTACTGTAGTAAATTACTGGAGCTTTGCTAACTGTGCTGTGAGCCGTCGCAAGGGTAAACCCACTTTCACCCACTCCTCTACACTTCTCCCTCCTTCCCCCTGACACTGCACATGCAGTTAATCTACACTCTCTCTTCTTTAGGATCGAAGATTCAATGATGAGATTGACAAGCTAACTGGATACAAGACAAAGTCACTACTGTGCATGCCTATCCGGAGCAGTGATGGGGAGATTATCGGCGTGGCCCAAGCGATAAATAAGATTCCTGAAGGTGCTCCGTTTACCGAAGATGATGAAAAAGTAAGGTTTTGTGCCTTTTGTGACTTGCACTTTCCTTCTGATCACTAATTGCTGTTCTCCCTGAAAAGGACAGGAATTGTGTGAATAGCTATTGGATTAGCCCATTCACGAACCAAGGAGCTTTTTCTCATGTTATACAAAATGTAATGGGAGCTTTTTTTATATTTTATAGAATGTGACATACTTGAAAATAATTACTGAATCTTTTTTTTAGCTTGCTTTTCATTACAAGCCTCAGTAGCATTCTTATTGTTCCCAGGTGTTTATCTTTCTTATGAGTAAGCTTTTTAAACAAGGATCACACCACTGCCGCACACGGCCCAAGAGAAAGTAGGGGAGATAGGAAGATTACTGTGTTTCAGAGACTCAGCACTTTTTCTTGTATTTTATAATTATTCCAAAGAATTTTTTTCAGTTCTTACATAAAAATCTCAATAAAATGAATGTTATTTCATTGTTATTCTAAATTGCTAATAAATTTTATTTTTATCCCGGAAGGGCAGTTGACCTTGGTAGAAGTGGTGTACTTTTTGCTCGGAAATTTTAAAGTCTTTCACAAGTATTTTATTCACCATCTCTTATTAAAAGATAGGCTTTTCAAAGAGTTGAAGTTCTGGCTTTGAAGCTCTTACATTTGTACTAAATAGAATCTGGTAGAATATTGATACAATTTGTTTAAGTTTGATGACTGCCATACTCCTATCTGATTAGAAAAGAGACTTTACTGAGGTCATTTCTATATCTGAATTTGAACAACCCAAACCCGGGAGAAGGTTTATTGACCCTGAGAGCACGACAGGACCTCAGACAGTTTCCTACCAATTCGACAAACAGCGGCAGTGTGCAGGGCTTGTGTGTTGATGTCCCAGGAAGCACAAACAGAAATTTCAGACACCTGAGGCCATCCCGGAGCTGCACAGGGCAGAGGGCGAGGCCAACAATAGGATGTGCTAGGACGTGCTGTGGGTGCCTAAGAAAGTCTCAACTGAAGAATCTGAAGGGCCTTCTTAGAAGCGGTGGCATTTGATCTGAATGCTGAAGAAAACAGGCCTTCATGAAACAGAGGCAGGTGAGAAGGTGAGGAGTTTAGAAACTTACAAAAGATAGGTCACTATGCAAATGTATCTGATGTACAGATAAAACAAAAATTTGACTTCATGCATTTGTACTGAAGATGACAGATTCCTATAGTAATGTGCTTCTTATAAGGATTTAGATAGAAAGATGGGGGTTGTGTGCCTTCACGAACACAACAGCTACCAGCCCAGGACATCCATCTCCCAAGCATTTAGTTTATATGCAGCAGTAGTCCTGCCTTCACTCCGCCTCTTATATTTAATAGGATCCCATTATGTATTTAATTCTCATTTCTGATTTCACTTGTGTTAGATTTGTTTTCTGGAGCTAGGTCTTCACGCGCTTTGAACAGTTTGCACTGGGCTTTGTGCTTGTCTTGAACAGTGTCAGGGTTCAGCTCTAGGGAGAGCAAGGGCTGGGCCCGCGTTCCTGCTTGGTGACGGACAAGCAGTCTGTTTGAGTTGAGCCACTTACTCTCCGACTCTTGGTTTCCTCGTCTGTTAATTATACTATTCATCTTTCTACAGCATGAGAGTTAAGTAAGGTTATAAATAATAAATACTTTGAAAACTATCAGAAAGTAGGCAAATGTAAAATATAACTCTTTATTTTTAAACTTCATTTCCCCAGAGTTTTAAAATGTTCTATTTTCATTATTTATCTCCAGGCAAACTATTTCTTAGATTCAATTGCATTTGAGTATTTCCTTGCACCGCATGTTGTATTTTTCTCCTCTGCAATGATCCCATATTCTCACAGTAGTATTTTATTTTCCAACCTTTCCAATTGCCTTCCTGATTTAAAAACCCCACTCTAGTCTCACTTCTTGGAAGAAGCCTTACCAGTCAGGGCAGTTAGGTTGTGTTCCCTCAGGTCATGCAGGTGACACTGGATGGACAGTATCTTATCTCGAATTCTGTATCTGCTTATCATTTTTCTCTGCAAGGATTCTGTATGTTGTAAACCAAACAGGAGTGGTGAGGGAGAAAAGCACAAAATCTAGAAAACACTAGTGGGAAAGAGCAGGATCTAGATCCTTCTTCCAAATAAGAGAAGGCATTGAGGCATAATGACTGCACACAGGCCATATAGTGTGTCTACCTGGTTTGAAATGCCATCTCTGCTGTAGCCTGTGCAACCTTAGGCAAGTTATTTAGCTTCTCTGTGCTCCAGTTTCTTTGTCTTAGAAGAGCTATTGTAGCAATAATACTCATCTCATAAGGCTATAGGGAGATTAAATGAATGCAGGGGAAGGACTTGGAAGGGCACCAATCACATAGTAAATCCTCATAAAAGATGAGCCTTTCCTGACAGCACAGGTGAGATACAGTCAGGTCTCAGTTAAAAAAAAATTACTTCTATGTGACTTAATTAAGCATAATCTATATGGCATTTCCACTGTTGGAATTTCAACAATGAAATGAGGAGATATACTTCCTTATAAATTCACAGTTCTCATGTATGATTGTTAATGCATGTGCTGTTTTGCTTGATAGTACAAGATTATGCTTCCACCAGTTTGTATTCTATTTTTAGTGTGAAGTTATTTCTTACATCTATATCTACATGTGAATGCAGTCTGCCATTTTTAGGGATTATAACGTTTTCTTCTTTTTCTTTTCTTACATACCCTAGTTTGCTTAGTCACTGTCCTATGACTGAAAATTTGGGTTGTTTCCAGTTTTTCATGAATACGAATAGCCCCTGAATGAACATCTGCGACAAATTACCTTTTCCTTTTCTGTTATTTACTTGGGGTATATTCCAAAGACTGAAATTACTGAGTCAAAGGGCAAGAAAAGTTTTACAGCTCTCATTGTGAGTTATCAAATAGCTTTCAGAAACATCGAACCCATTTCCAGTGGCAACAGTGTACATATACCTCTTTGTGCAGAGTGCTGCCAACTGCATTCAGTTCGAGCTTTAAAACTCAAATTGCTTTTCCTTGTCAGCCAGACAGGCTTCGGACAACCTCCTCCCACATTCACCAGTATGAACTCTGCAACAGAAGTTTCAGAGCGATCTACAGGTTAGACAGGGAGGGGAAATGGAAGCCTGGTTCTTAGAGCTAGGGAAGGGGCTCCAGAGCAGGTCACCTTCAAAGCAGGTTCCAGCAAGTTGTTCAATCCCCGTTACCTCGGAACTTCCATAATAGGGTTGTTGTGAGGAGTAAAATAGGTAATAGATGTAAAGTGCGTAGGGTAGCACTAATTATCAGTAAATGAGTTTCATGAAATCTCACCATCTATTTCAAAGTCGAACTTTCATTTTAATGACATTAAAATCATTATACTCTTTAAAATTCTTGCATAATTAGCAATAATTTAATCACTGATGGTTAGAGTTTTGAGTGAAATGTATTCTACCATATGTACATATTAATAATTTAAGTTACATACTGACAAATTATGAGTTTGGTAATTCAAGTTGGAAGTGCATACAAAAACAGATTATAGAGAAGAGATGATTAGAATTTTCTGGTTCACTTCATGGGTATCCAGCAAATGCTTCTGTTTTTCAGTGATATGCACAAGCTGGCTGATTCAGGTGGTATGACATCCCATTAATTTATTGCTTTAGTATTCCTGGGTGAGTAAAGAGAGGTTTTCTTTTGCAGAATAAAATAATGAGAGATGGGAGCAAACATTTGTTATCAAGATGTATGGGCACTCCAGATGAAACCTGGTATCTGGAAATGAGCACAGGCTCTTAACCACCCTTACCAGTGCTCTGTACCCTGTGAGAAACTATGCCCAGGCATAGTTTCTTACGGAGGTGTTACATGAAGAACATGTGTATTGCAGTTGCTTTCCAACAGCCAACATATAAGTAGTTGTGGCTTAAAGTTGTTCTTTGGCTGATCTCCATAAGGTTTCTTTAGCCTGTGGTCACCTCTCTCCAGCTCATTATTTAGAGTGTTCAGCTAGCCTGCTGCTCTCTTTGGTGCCAACATGTTCAGACACCCTGAAGAGCTGGGATGCAGCCAGCTGAGCTTGGCTGCCTCAGGAATGGCCACATTCCAGGAGCTTCTTGTGGGTGGCATTGCCCTCCCTGCCAATTGGTGTTGAGGATGGTGCATGGATGATGCTAATGAATCTCGCAGAAGGTGGAGTTTTGTTATTTGCAACAGGCTTGAGACTCACAGGCAGAGAATAGGGAAGATTTTACAAGTTCTTTGCTGTACATTTTTTAAGCTGTTCTCGACTGTGCATAGGCTAATGGTTAGGGTTCTGGTGAGGTGTCAAAGCTACAAAAGATATTACAGCTCACTTTATTGAGGAGGAAGGATGTTGGATGCACCACACTGCGGGGAGTTATAAATTGGTGGTCCCAGAAGACTGAATGCAGCTCACAGATGTGTGACTTGCATGGAATTTGACGTACATAAGATTGATTTTCTTTTTGAAAGCCTTTAGACATGGCTGAAACCTGTAGTTCTGCCATAATAGCCAATGCTCAACTAGTCCAGTTAATATCAAGTCATCACAATGGGAGCAAAGACAGACAGGTTTCTTCTAGCATCTTATGATGAGTTAGTTTCTACACAAAAGTGCTTCTCAGAAAGTCATTAAAAAACTTAGTATATACATAGTTAGTGAGATTAACAACCCTGTAAGGCAAGTTTATATGTTTTTCTATTAATATTCCATTGTCTTTTGGATATTCAAATGCGAAAGGAGAAATGAATTAACTAATTATAAGAAGAGGCCTTTGTGCTCTTATCTCATTTTCTCCCTTTTCTGCCTATATTCCAATTAACTTAGATTTTTAAACCTGTTGTCATAAAATTATAATTAATAGTCAGTTTAGTGAAACACTTTTAAAAGTCTTGACAGATAGCTTATTATTAAAAGTTATCCTTGATCAATAAGATTTCAGTCCTGGAAAAGTGTGAATCGAATCTGGTAACACAATTGCAACAC